CTATAAAGTCAGCTAATGTAAACTCAAAGGTTATTAAAACTGGTCAGAGAGAACAGGATTGTGAGGATGTATTAAGTTCTTACTCTTTATACCATACGTCAGAACCAGATGAAGAGTGTGATGAAGGGAGTGAGTAGGTCCGAGGACATTTTGATTAAAACCAGTTGACTCAATTAGATTACTAAAAGCTATATTTCGGCTATCACTTTCACTATCAACATGAATGTTAAAATCTCCCATTATTATAATTTTATCAGTATTTAATAATAAATCTGTCAGAAAATCTGAGAATTCTGATAAAAACTGAGAATAAGGACATGRTGGACGATAAGTAAGAACAAGTAACAGAATAGTAAACTTTTGGGATGTGTGGCCTCATTAGACATCACATTGTTGACAAACGTTTGCCTCTAAATTCCACATATTTCAGCTAATCTGCACGCAATACGCTACGGTCGATCCAAAGCCATACCATTACATGAATGCAGTCCAATTCTGTAGGGTGTGTGGACTAATTCCTCCACAGCTCCCCCTACAATTATTTAAAAAAGTTAGCCCTAAGCCAGGGTTGGACTTGAAATCGCGAAATTTGGTCCATATGTATAATGTCTCATGAACTACAAAAAAGTCTTTTGGAATCACGGTCTAATCCCCACAGGAAGTCGGCCATTTTGGGTCAAAGCTGCCAATTTGTCTCTTTTTTTTGCACATCTATCTGAACTAACTCCTCCTGCAGCTGTGAACCAGCAGACTTCACCTGCTGCGTGTTTCTCTCAACACTGACTGGTGGAGCGATGGTGTGGGTGTGGCAGAGTGGAGAATGCTGATGCTTCACTGTTTGCACATGGTTAGCTCTAAATCACACATACTTGGTTTGATCTGCACCAAGTTTTGTGTGAACCATCAGGGAGACCTGCCCAACATGTTGGTGTAATAGTTTGACAAGATCACTTCAGCCCCGCCCACTTTGCATATGATGGGCTCTAAATCACTCATACATAATCAGATCTGCACTAAAATTGTTTGTGCATCAACAAGGACACCTGCTAATCACAGTGTGTTAGTTTGATGTTATCACTTTAGCCCCACCCACTTTGCATATGGTTAGCTCTAAATCACATATACATGATSCAATCTTCAAAGAATGATCGTTAAAGGTTATCCCTCTGAAAACAGACCTGTAATGTATGTTCAATCTGTATAACATGAGGTGTGTGTTCCAGCAGATCAGTGAAGTGTGTGTTTAGACATGATGCTGTCATGGATGAGGCTGTTGTGTCTTATCACACCTGCTGTTTTTTTAACTTCTCACTTATTGTTCATGTTTCTATGGCAGACTGACTCTTCTCTGCTGGCTCTCATGGGGATCCGTCTTGAAGGCCTTATTCCTGCGGTTGTCCTTCCTCTACTGCTAACTATGGTAAATAAGATCATTTTCTACATTATTCTGATTGTGTGTGCGTGAACCATCACCAGCTCTGATCCTGACTCATATGTTTCATTTAAAAGGGCTCAGAGCTCCTGCTTCAGAACCCGACTGTTGAAATAAAGCTCATCCCATCTGCACAAATTCTACTCAAACAGGAAAACTAGTTCCCTTTTGTCAAGAAAATGACTTCCTCTTTGTCTCTGTTGAAATCTGTTCAGCACAAACACTAACATAGTATGCAGTACAGAGCATGTATGCTTTTAGTTGTGATCTCTACTGGTTTACACCTTCACACTCCTCATCCCCAGGTTGTGTTTATGAGTCAGATTGAATGATTGTGGGGGAGATAAAGCCACTTCCTGCTTGGTCAGGTCATCATTCTTTGTCCATAATATTGTATACTGTGCTGTCTATGCACAAGTGTTTACTTCAGTGGGCCCTTATCAACCCTGTAAAATATGTGGTCTAAACTCCTTTTGTTTCATCAAAATGTTCCACTTTAAAGTTAGCTACAGCCTCGTTTTTCAAAACAAACCTAAGCTTTTCATGAAGTTTACTCAAATATGTTGGAATTAAACTGACTTCTTGTCAAGTTTTAAATATTTTAGGAGGCTCAGCTTTTGTACCCAMAAGTTTTAGTATTTTTGCTTTGGTGCTTGTCAGATATACATAAACATTTGGTGCCTTGGCCAGATAKTGACATTCATCTCACACAAAGACCATAAGGACTTGATAATGATAATAACTATCAATGTTTCATTTAGAGTCAATGGTGTTGAGATTTGTTGAGTCAGTGAGGTGAAGGTTTTGAGTGTTATCACTGATGATAAGCTGACATGGAAATCTCTTAAATTATTTAAGAATAAAAATAGTTCAAGAAGGGTTTGATGTTTTTGTTTTGTTTTTGTTACTTGAAGATTTTTGTTAGAATTTATTTTCTTTTTTTAAAAAAAGGGGGCAGACATAAGATTTTTCTTCTTTCTGCTGCCTTTAATTTTGTTTGATTTGTATTTTTGTATACAAATTTTGTTTTTAAATGAAATGAATAAATGATACTAAACTAGTATTTACATGTAGACCCTGACAGCCTGATTTAACGTTAGATCTTATTCTCTCATCTCACTTACGCAGGTGCATCGTTTGCTACACTTATCACCTGCAGAGACCYCATCTTGTGCATTGCCTCAGTCACAACTAGTTCTCACAGCACTGGGCATTATGTGATGGGTCAAAACTTTGTGGGTCTTTKTTTATGTAAAGTARCTTCAGTGAGCTGATCTCTGAGYAGCTTCTGCAGACGAACGGCCTGAAGAGGCTGAGTAAAGATATGTAGTAAAAATGATGAAGTCAGATAAAACTTATATAGTTAAACAACTGTGAAAGCAGTATGGTTTGAACCTCTGAAAGGCACAGAAARCAAGACTGAGGCTCTCTCCTGATTGACCTGTTTCTCTTCTACAGCCTTTTCCTTTTCTTTAGATCTGTCTTTTTAATTCTAAAGTTAATATTGAGTCCAGTCTGTTTTACTGAAGGGCAGAGTGATTTTGAACAATTAAACTAATTTATTTGTGTTTGTTCATAATTTTAGATAAGGCTTTAAGTTGAATAATTCAMTCTTTATTATGGTTGCAGAGCTTAATGGCATTAACAAAGCCTCTGTCTCTACTTTCAAACTGTGTTTGGTTCTGTGCTGTAGGTCCTTTTTTTGGGCCCACTCATGCAGTTGGCCATAGACTGTCCATGGAACTTCACAGATGGGATTCGAGTGGCCCTTGGTGAGTCTAAAGCTGGATTTTGCCTAAGGCCTCCTTCACATCGGATGATGGCTGAAAAACTAAACTAGAAWATGGATAGTCTTGGTGGAGTTTTGGCTCTSTTTTCAGGGGCGTATTAGGAAACTTWGTGGGCTTCTTCGTGGTAAAACATTGTTCATCAAAGATTGAGCCTGCTGAAAACTATTATACAAAAGTTGTGATGGTTTATAATACAACAATCAAAATGGCAAGAAATGAAAGCATGAATAAGAGTTTCTGTGTCGATGAATGCAATAAAAGCTCTGATTTTTGCCAATGTTCCTAATTTGAAAAAAGGGCTGTTTTAGTGATGTTCTTAAAATGTTTAGAAAAGCTAAGATGTGAATTAAAGATCACTCCCAAATTTCTGTCTTCATGAGTGCAGATCCCTTTTGATCTTTGGCCCAAACACAATCACCTCAGTTCTTTCATTATTAAGTAAAAGATAGTTGCTTAGATAGGACAATAAACAGATTCAGTACCAAAGAGAAGACTGCTGATGCACAGAAACATTRAGTTTAGTTTTTCAAAATGTCAAAATTTTCAAAATTCATCATGTCTTAAATAATAACAAGGAGTCATTTGCTGCATGTTTATTGTATAATGCTTCATGTCATCTCAGCTGAGTTCTGCTCCATAAAGCTCAACTAATAATTTATAAATGGTCAGAAACTGATGAAAGACAAACTGGTCTTTGYGTTATTTTGCAGAAGTGTTTTGTGAAAGTACCTCGTAGTTTCTGACCTGTGTGCACTGACATTGTTTGGTCATCCAGAGTTTGAGCAGGAGCCTCAGCTGTGACCGTCATCATGGCATTTTAAACAACCTAGCACAGATGTAGTACTTACAGTCCTCCAGTACCAATATGTATCTGCACCCTGATGCAGTTTGAGAGAGTTGTGCCACTGCAGACCTATAGAGCACATTGAGAACACAGAAAATAGCAGGTAAAACCTGCTATTTGAACCATGAGCACAGCAGCTTCACAACCGCATGATAACTCATGGAGGTTTTCCAGATTTGTCGTATTCTGCTCATGTTCTGTCATCCACTGTGAAGGAGGCCTCAGATTTTATGCCATGTAGAAATTTAAAGTGCTTTTAACAATCTAAATGYAAGTATAACTTGATTTATTTTATGTTGACCATTACTTTTGGTCTGTGATTGAATGCATCGATGTCTTGTAGGAATTAAACATATGAACAAAAGAAGTGAGATATTTTGCTCCTGTGTTTGTGTGAAGACCCATGTTTCTGGATGTTGTGCCTCAGCGACATGCGCTGGTTGAGGAATCAGGTGGTGGCTCCATTAACAGAGGAACTGGTCTTCAGGGCTTGTATGCTGCCCATGCTGGTGCCCTGTGCYGGACCAGCCACTGCTATCTTCACCTGCCCGCTTTTTTTTGGAGTGGGTGAGTAAAGCATCTTAACTTTGAGTTTCATAGTTTATTTACCTTTCCTCCTTTAACTTTGATGTTTTACATCTATACACCCATTTGTAAAGTTGTAAACAGTGTCTGTTCTGTATTTCAAACATTGCTGGAACTGCTTTGAGTTTTCTACATAACTAAAATATTCTACATGCAGATTACACATGAACACATTTATAAAAGGTATTTTAGGGGGGAAGATTTGGTGAGGCAAAGGTTAGTGAAAACTGATTTAGTCTGAATAGAATAAGTCAGAATTTAGTGTATATTGTTTCATTAATTACTTTTTACACTGCAGTATTTTAAATGAAGTAAGGCTGGGAAATAAAACAGTAACAATACTGTATATATCATGATAGACATGTGATCAATATCAAAAGAAAACTGCCACGGCTGCACTTGTTGTTGTGATCACACACAACATGCCCACTTTTAGCCCTGCCTAATTTTTTAATTTGCGYAGGTGTTTAGTACTGGTTGCTGTGTTTATGAAAGCATAAAGGTTCATGATGTTTTTTTAATTATTGCATCCTATTTTGRTTTACATCTTACACTCTCCTCACTTTTTCAGAATTTTGGTTGTAATTTGCCACAGCCATACCACAAACTGTATATTCTTCATTATTCGTTAAAAATGTAAAATGTAGGTCACAGAAGTATGGGAAGAAACTTGTCATCAGACAGTGAATTTGAATTGTGCAGAYTGAATCTGTCCTGGTGCATCTCAGTAATGAAGACGTCTCTTGGAGGRGAGACGAAACATTTCATTAAAGAAGAATCCGTCCAGAAGAAATTAAATTCATTGCTTTTAAAATTAATTTCACTGAATTGAAACAAAACCAAAGTTATTTTGCAGTGAATTAAGTTTACACCCCATCATGAATTAGTCAGCAGCAGCGTCAGATGAATATCTGCCTGCAGCTGGGAGGGACACTGTGTAAGAGCTGAGCCACCTGTTGGTGCTTTGGGACCGGGGAGGAGATCACAGCTGCACCTGCTGCTCATCAGAGAGCTGCGTTCATGTTCGTCTCTAAAAGTTTCAAAACGCCAGAAAACGAGTTGCGAGATTTTTGCCAGTCGTTTTTCTGAAAAACAGTCACCAGTGGTCACATTTATAAAGCTTGCTTGTGCACAAAATGGACCCAGAAACTTGCATACACCACTTTTCACGCAAAGGTTCTAGTTTTACAAACCAGAACCTTTGCGTGAAAATGTGCGGTCCCTCACATCAGCTCTGACTAAAGGCTGCTGCATACTCCCTCCGAAGCTGAACAGTCGATGCACAGTCTCATGGTTTTTCAGTGTTGGGTTTCACACACACACCTTTCATAGTCCCTGAGACACCCCATGCCGAGCTCCTGGGAAACCCCTCCTGCTACAGCATACGTCACTACAGGGGGGTTCCTCCTGCTGTCCCGGAGTCTACGATATGGACTGTGGTGGAAGGATTTATCAAGAATTCAGAAACACATTGGAATAAATGCACAGAAAGTCTGCGTGTATGGCCGTCAAGTGATTTAATTTGAGCAACAACAGAGCAGAAGTCGATCAGAGAAATCTGTCAATTGTGGCTGGCGCGTCAGTGCAGARCAGCCGATAATATAACATCCTGTGACATGCTTACAACCAGTCACCGTTTGCCAACTGTAAACCATCTAACCAATGAYAGAGCTGTCAGCCCCAGAAGTACCTTATCAAAATAAAAGAGGTCATGCACTTCTGGAGTCTTGAAGTCTAGGGCAACAGATTAATACAGCCGAAACTAGTTATCACATGAGATATGAGTACTGGACAGTTTCAAGGTAAAACAGATATAAATAATTATTCCATAACATGGACAAAAAGGTCCGAGACCTGTCGCCCGATGTTATTTATCCATAAATCTGTCCTTTTCATGAGTGGACAGGCAGCTGACAGCATGGACCATCAACTACCTCACCAACAGACCACAGTATGTGAGGCTCCACAACTGTTTGTCTGATGTGGTAGTCTGCAGCACAGGGGCACCACAGAGCACGGTCCTCTCACCCTTTCTGTTCAGTCTGTACTAGTCAGACTTCAAGTACAACTCGGACCACTGCCACCTTCAGAAGCTCTCAGATGATAYGGCCATCAGTGGATGCGTATCAGACGGGAATGATGAGGAATACAGGGGGGTCATCAGTGACGTTGTTGGCTGGTGTGAGACCAACACTCTCCAAATCAATGCCAGCAAGACGGAGGAGATGGTCATAGAACACAGGAGGAAGTCACCCCCACAGCACCAGTGAACATCCAGGGAAAAGACATTRAGACAGTGGACTCTTACAAGTACCTGGGTGTTCACCAAAACAACAAGCTGGACTGGACTACGAACACAGACGTCTTGTATAAGAAGGGCCAGAGTCGACTCCACATGCTGAGGAGCCTGAGGTCCTTCTGTGTCTGCAGGACTCTGTTAAAGACATTCTATGACACGGTGGTAGCATCTGCCCTTTTCTATGGAGTGGTCTGCTGGGGGGCTGGATGTACCGAAAGGGACAGGAACAGGATGGACAAACTGGTACGGAGGTCAAGCTCTGTGCTGGGATGTCCTCTGGAGCCTGTGGTAGTGGTGGGTGAGAGGAGGATGTTAGCAAAGCTGAGAGCCATCATGGATAACCCCCACCACCCTCTGCATGAAACCGTGGGGGGGCTGAGCAGCTCCTTCAGTCAGAGACTTAAACATCCTCGCTGCAGAACCGAGCGCTTCTGTAGGTCATCCATTCCAACTGCAGTTAGACTGTATAACACATCATGATGTTATCAGTCACTTGGACAATTCACCTAACCTGTCAGCTGATTTGTCAGCAGCTGACAGGTTGGCCCTGCAGAGGGTAACAAGCACTGCAGAGAGGATTATCAGCTGCCCTCAGACCTCTTGGAGAACATCACCAGCTCCCGTTGCCTGACTAGAGCTCAGCACATCTGTACAGACAAGAACCACCCTGGTCAGCTGCTTTTTAACCTACATCAGGGAAGAGGTTCCAGTTCCCGAGAAGCAGGACTAAAGAACAGCTTTTGCCCTTGAGCCATCAGACCTCTGAATAGGGCTTCTGCTGCTTCCAAAAATAACTCACCCTAATGAGCGAGTCTTTATTTTCTACTATGTCCTTGCACGAGTGTGCACACTGTTTTATTTGTTTTATTATTTATTTGTTTTTAGAGTTAGATGTTACTCTGCTTAAAGATTTACAGCACTGATCAGTGGCAGCTGTTCTACTTTCATCATGCTCATGAAGAATGATGACAATAAAGGCTTTGAATTGAATTTTGAAACGGGAAGCTGCGACACATGTTGAAGTGAGGAATTATAGCCACACTGCGTCATGATCATTGAGATATTTAATTTCATTTCATAATCAAACTTAGATTTCTGTTCAACTTTATCATCAGCTTTCTWAACAGTATTAAGTATGCTTCTGCTGGTGACTCATAAAAGACATTTGAATGAACTTTTACTGGAACAAAATAMAGTTTCAAAGCAAATGAATTCAGATTCAAATCATTAAACTCTTTCAGTTTAGTGAAATTAATTTTCAAACCAATGAATTTAATTTTACATTCTGCTATTCCAGGTTCAGTCTGAGTGATTCACATTCACTTTCTGTTGGAACAAGTTTCTTTCCATACAGAAGTACTTAGTTTTTACAGCAACAAATGACTTTATYATCTTGTTACAGACAGAATATATTTGGCTAGCTTTCATATTACAAACAATTTTTGTTTTCTGTGTCTCTGTTTTCTCTCTCAGCTCACTTCCACCACATCATAGAGCTGCTGAGGTTCAGACAGGGGACATTGTCAGGGATCCTCCTCTCAGCAGGTCAGAGTTCATCTTTTTCAAAGCTTCCACGTGGATTTTTACTGCATGAGTTGTTTWTACTCTACCAGCTCATGTGTCCTCTAATGTATTGATAACTGGTCAGCTGGCCAACAATGGTTGACACACATACAGTTTAGATTCTCATTTAAAAGGTGACAAGAATGTTCTGGTGTGTGCTCTCTGTTGACCAATCCTAACTATATATTAATTATTCTTACATAACAATAAAAAAGAAGAATTTTATTTCTATAAATACTGTCATTAGTATAACTGTCATCACCTTCATCAATAATTTTTTTTACTGCTAAAAATATTTGAAATGGTAAACCTCTTCCATAACAAAAGCCAGTGTAATGACAGCTGTCAGCTGTTTTGCATTCTCACTTTGAATTTAACATGAACTTTGTTTTTAATTAGGAAATCTGGTGCACCGTGCCTCTGCTCAAACCGGCACATTACATGTGATAATACGTATAATGTACGTTGTAAATTATATGTACATTATATAATTGTACATTATATAGCATTATACAGTACGTATAATGTATAGGTCAAAGCACTGAATCCTAAGCAACTAATAATGCTGGTGTATGAAGAAGATACATTATTAATTTCCAAATGTGTTTATGTTGTCACACTTGTCTTGTTTGTCTTGGTCATCTTTGGTGCCGAGCTTTAAACAGGAGGTGTAAGATCAGGGTTCCTGCAGATCTTTAAAACATCTTAAAAGGCATTGAATTTATCAATCCAATAATAAGGCTTTAATTAACCTTAAAATGTCTTAAATCAATCTTTCAGGGGTCTTAAAATGTTAACACATTGAAAGCAGAATAATTGTAACTCGTCTCAAATATAAAATAAATGGTAACATCTACGGAGTGCCTCGCACAGCTAGTTGTTTTGTGTTAAAATAAACATTTGAGTTAAATTGTCATTAACTGTTTTTTATTTGTGTTTTATTGTCAAGTTGGTCTTAAATTTCATTTCAAGTGGCATTAAAAAGTCTTAGAAAGCCTGAAATTTAATTTGCATTTATCTGTAGGAACCCTGAAGATGCTTTTTACCTGTTCTCGATTTTTATCAGACACACATCTGACAAATGTTAACATAAACCAAGACGTTTTACCACAACATTAGCTCCATCGGTGTGTGTGGTCCATGTCACACTGGACTGCAGGGGGTCAACCACTGAGGGACCTGCTGGACCCTTACAGACAACAGTGATTATGAATCATCAGTCCTGTAGAAAATCATGAATTACTCTTTGACCTTTTCATATAGTGTTTTACACAACACATGAAAAATAAAAAGGTGTTTATGAATATCCTTTTTGAATATGTTTGCAGTGTTTCAGTTCTCCTACACAGCAGTATTTGGAGCTTACACTGCCTTCATCTTCATCAGAACGGGTGAGAAGTTTCTATCATGGTTGTGTGTGTTTTATAACCTGTTGTGCTGATTAAATGTGACTCTTCTGCCAGGTGATGGGTTGATGCACTGGTTCATAAATGTCAAGCTGTCAGTCAGATTTATGTTTTTCATAAAAAGACAAACATACTTTATCAATCCTCTTCTTAGGTGTCTTTAGGACATAAAAGCCTGGATGGCATTTAACTGTTTAAATCTTAATGAAACCAAATCAAAGTGATGGTTTTTGCAGGYACTACTGGGCCCTCTCCTGTAGGTTTAAGTTTCTTGGCCCAATATATCAAACTGACTCTGAGGAATCTGGGGGTTGAACTGGGCTTAAGGCAGACAGTAAGATCAGGCCAGTCGTTAGAARAAGTTTTTATTATCTGAAGCAGCTGGCTGAAGTAAAAACAATCCACACTTTCAGCACCCGGCTTGATTACTGTCCCACACTTTATGTGGGGGTTAGTGGGTTCTCCAATGGCCGGCTGCAGACGGTACAAAATGCTGCTGTGCGACTTTTAATGGCAGACATAAACACGGGTCGATCTTTTCTGCAGCAGCTCCTAAACTGTGGAACAAGCTGCACCTTCAGCTCAGACAGACCTCTTCATGTTAAAACGCTTCTTTTCTTTGGTTTTTAACACTTTGGGAAGAGATTATTTTATTTTTATTTACTCTGGTTTTTAATTTGATAGATTTGAATTGTACTTATTTTTGTGGTAGCTGTGTTTATATTTGTCTCTGTAGCACACTTGAGTCTTATGG